AGATGTTGAGCCATCTGCAATGGCATTTTCATTCAGATGGGCCCGACCACCTTGAGTGATGAAGGCCTGGCGTGCTGCTGCCAGAATGTCCGGATCGGTGATTCGGGTTAGTCTTTGATCAGGGGAAATCTCCATACCCTGGCCACAAGCTACCGCCAGAGCAGTCGCCAGCATCTCGCTCCGTCCATATGTTCTAAGGAAATTTTGGATCTCCCCGCTCAATCCCTCATGGGGATTGCCGCTGCTGCGGAGCAAAGCCGCAAAGATATCCACGAGACGACGTCGACGAATGATATGAACTCCACCATTAGTCAAGATCGCGATCTCAGCAGCCGGGTGGTCGAATTGAACGGTCAGCTCGTTGGTCACTGGTGAAGGTGCTGAAACCAGACCAATATCTTCAGCCTTGCCTCCCAGGTCCAGAATGATCGCCGACTCGGCGGCTTTGCCACTGGCCGAACTTTCCTGGTACTGAGCGACCCGACCAGAGTCAGGGGTTGAGATGAAAAGGGTATCAATCTTTTGCTGTGCATCCTTGGTAGTAAAACAGAAGAAATAGCCCGGGGAATATCGCTCCGCAAGACGAGTGGGTGAAAGTGTGTTAATCTGACCAGCAGAAGGGGAAACCGCACCAAGAGGTGAGATGGAAGATGCCACCCCGCTCACGCCGGGGGAGATATCGACGGGCGGTGTCTTGACATGCAGTGCCTGCATGCTTGTGGGAGGGCTGGTGTAGGTCGACGCAGGCGCCCAGCTGTTGGAACCAGTGGCGCTGAGATAAATCCGATAGCCTGTCACCGTCGTTGCAACTAAATGATACCGCGACGCTTCTGTAGCTGGCACTGGACTGATCGACACAATCTTGATTCTGGGGTTGAGGGTTTCGTTTGAGGTGATGATGTGCCCAATGTTAGAGTAGATGTCCAGAGCGCGTTTGGTGATTGCAAGTGTCAAGGTGCCCTCAGGTCCCATGTGGAATACGCGGATTGTAGACGCGGAGGAGAGTGTGTAGAGCAAGTTTCGGCTGTCGTCAAGTGCCATCTGCACTACATGCTCAGCAGCACTCTGTGCAAGGTTAGTCAGGCTCATCGAGGGCCTGAAAGCCGATAGACGCGAGCTGGTATGGTTGACCCTGCCACAGCGGCCCTGGAACCACCTTTCCTCCTGTTGGTAAGTGACCTCGTGCACATCGGTGTCAGATGATCCTCCAAAGAAAATGCGTCCAGTGGATGCCGATGCTGCGAAAACATTTATATCCAAGCCACGGACTGCTACCGACATCCCCGTGTGATACAGAGAAACCTGTCGACCCCCGCTGGGCGTGTTCTCATAGCCCATCCCCAGCAGAATGATGTCCGCAGTCGTCGCAATGACCAGCAAATGAGTGATCGCAGGCAAGAAAACTCCCGGGCGCGGTTTCGTCAGCTTGACAGCATTGATGCTGTTAGGCTGTTCCTCGAATCCCACCAATTGCGGGTTGGGGTGTGTGAAATCCCAAATGTACAATGCATTGTCAATTGCGACCCAGGCATGGTTTAACTCGGCAAACAGACCCATGCTGGTCGATACTTGTGCGCGGTTGTATTGATCAAAGATCTGGTCGGGAATATCGTACATTTTGACTTTTTGAAATGGTGCCCATGATTGAGATACGGGGATGTTGTACTCAGACGAGGAGCCCTCTTGTTTTTTTTTTGGTCAGTGTTGCTTCGGACAGACAGACTTAGTTAGGGAACCCTTACGAGATAAATAGGTGTCAAGGTCTGGATAACGCGATTCGCTTTGCAAGCTGCTATTGATCGTTCGCGCCCCGCGTTCCTCGGTGCTCACTGTTTGATTTTTGGTCTTCGAGGCCGCTGGAGGGAGCTTTGGCATGGGGGTCTGGGGTTCCGCTTGCAATGGCGACTTGTTGGGGAGAGGCCGTGCTGTAGCTGGCGCCGGGGTCTGAAAGTAAGCTCCAGGAAGGGGTTTCTGCGGCGTCACCGGAGGGAGATTTGTTGGAAGAGTTGGATACGACATGGCGGCGGTTTTAATGAGGGAGAAAGGGATGATCCCCCGCTAGAAATCACAAAGAAGCTGCAGTGTAGGTCGGACGACAAAAAGAAAGTAAAAAATATGTGGGGGAATGACGATGAGAGAAGGTCTTGGGAGGAGATTGGATTATTCAAGGTCTTTGCGAAAAGAGAGAGTCAACACCTGGGAGCGCACAGACCAATTGGGATCTTCCGCCTTCATGCTATTGATTGTTGATTGTCCCCCCCCATTCATTCCCATTGATCCCTCAATTGAGCTTATTTCTTATTGTCTAAACTGTCAATTAAAATGTTTCAATCCATCCGTTTGTCTGCACGCCTACCAGCTCGTCTGGTACGGTGGAATTCCACCGGTCCGGTCCTGCCACCCTTGATGGCTACTTTGCGGACTGATCTGAAAACTGCCATGAGAGCCAAGGATACCACAAGGTAGAAATCCGTTCCCCTCATGTTTTGGTGGCTCAGCAAGCTTATTATCAGACTTAATGTACTTCGTGCTTTGATCTCCGAGACCAACAACGCCGCCAAAACCGCCTCGCCGATTCAGACAGACATTCAGCTCTTGTCGCTTATTCGCAAACGCCTGAATGCCTCCAAAGATGCGGCAAAGGAGTTCGATGTCGCTGAGCGTCCAGATCTGAAGGAGAAAGAGGATGCACAGGTTGTGGTATTGGAGGAATATGCTGGTCAGGTCAAGACACTCCCCATCGCCGAGATCAAGGAAGTTGTCATCAATCAGATCGCTGTCATGATCAATGACAATATGAAGCCCAACCAAGGAACTGTTCTGAAGGCTCTCTTTGCTGCGGGAGGCCCTCTAGACGGCAAGCCAGTGGACCGGAAAGAAGTTGCTACCGAGGTGAAGAACGCGCTCTCTTGAGCTTACATTTTACCAGATTGTATAATAGTGTCACAATAGCCTCAGTCAAGGGCATACAAATCTCATTTATAATTCACAGAAAGAACGATCCCAGCTCCTATTCAACGCCAGCCCGAAAGGTTCATGAGCAGAAGAAAGCTACTCCTCCAAGAGATGTCATCAGCACACCTAACCACCACCATCGGTCTGGGTCGATCAGCTGTTCTCTAGCGATCAGCTGCAATCCTGACTTTGACGATAGTTCTCGCTTTTCCTTATGTCCTGTTGGCGTGGGGTTCAATGTCGTGGTAGGGAGCATCTTTGGTGGCTGGTAGGCGAGGAACATGGGATGGAGAAGTGAGCCATCAACCCTAGTCAAATCGAGGCGTTTAATACGATTGAACTTGTCGATATACACGGAGAATTCCTGTGTGCTGTCAGTATTGGCCGGCGGAGAGAAAAAGAGAGGGAGAGAGAGAGGCATCAATACCTTGAACTCCTCGGTGGTATTAAATCGTGTGTAGTGGCCTAACTCCTTCCCGCAGGGCTCGGACAGTAGCTGACGACCATCAACGGCAATTGGCGTCAACATCAGTGTTCCATTGCCGAACACAGTATAAGCCCCATGTTGCCATTGCAAGATCCCTCCCGGGCATGATGGGTCGGCCGCTGTTCAATATTAATACAACGTCAGGATCTATATATTCCATGAGTACTGACGATTTGAGATTGCGCGATAGTATGCCGACTCATAATTCCCATCATCATCAAACGAGTATGAAATTCCTGTTAGATTCGGCTCAAGTAGCTTGTCGTTGAGCGGATCGTAGAATCCCTATGCGTGTTAGTCTCGCCATTTGTATACTACATACAGTAGTTCCACATACTGGACCAGTAAGAACATCACGAGATTTGGTGGTCCATGTTCCAACCAAATCATTCGCCAAACCGGCTGTGATTAACAGACTCCAAATCAAAAACATCTTGGTTGACAAAGGGAAAAACTGACAGAAAGGGAGTATTTGAAGGACGCCCTTTATTGGGAGGGGGATCAACAACATAGTTCAGCAAGGCCCTGGAATGGGAAGGGTTGATGGGGATATTAGGAGCAACCAACTAACTAATAAGAACTTCAAATGTACATTGTATTATCTTAATCTCCCATAAACCCTAAACTACCTACAACTTTTATTTTATAGGGGATCTCACTATAGCCAAACACCGTTGATGTTTCTCATGAGAAGATTAAAAATAATAGAAATGGATGTTAAAATTCTTTCAAAACTTCCTCTCTTAAATTACAGGTCTTGTAATGTAGTTGGTTATCATACTGGTTTTTGAATTAAAATGATTTGAAAAATACCAGTAACCCCGGTTCGAATCCGGGCAGGACCTTTCATTTCTTTTTTTGTTCCCCAGTCTGCAACATCCAAAACACAACATTCTAATTTAATCTCAATATTTTACTTTGATCATTAACCACCCCACTAACTCTGGGTTTGGAGTCGTTGTGTTCGTTTGAATGAGGGTCGTCACCAGAGAGGATCACTACAGAGAAGGGCGAGGGGAGGGGAGGAGGTTGGATTTGCAAATCAATTCTGATCCCGAGTTCTGACAGTCCAGCCTTTCAGAGCTGGTGGAAGGCGGCAGCCCAGGAGTCTTCTCGACCGGGAGCCCGGTGGTGGCAGGAGGAGGGGATGGGAGTACGCAAAGCGGTGGCACGAGAGGCAGCCACCTTCCTGTCATAGGAAAGATGGGTGGTAGATGGATGTGGTTGAGTTGCGTATTGGAAAATTAGGAGGATGTTTAACTCTGTTTATACATGGAAATATCTGCTTTAGGTCTAGAATGCTCCATTGCTACTCTTGTTATTACATATGCCGAGGCGCTATTAGTGACGACGAAGCCGGCAGCAGCATCTGGAGTATGTTGGAGAGGGAAGGGGGGGAGGTGTCATTCGATATTGTTGTCGGGAGACAACGATGCAGCGGAGTGGGCGGAGTTGTTTGGGGTTGATGTTACTAGTACAATATAGGTGGGCCCTTACGAGCGCTGCCATTGCCGGAGAGAGCCGTGTGGAGGGGCTTGAGGTTTTGAAGTTTCCACCGTCACGCATCGCGTTCACGGCGGGAGGGGCCTGAGGGGCCTGAGGGGGTGTCGACGGGCAGGCCCCGTTGAGTCAACTCGGCCGCGCGGGAATCATATCGGCCGGGGGCCCGGGAAGATTGTCCACGGGGCTCGTGGAAGGCAGAAACCCGGGAGGTACCTTGACCGGGAGCCTGTTGGTATGAGCGGGAGTCGGAGTGGGAAACCCGGGACTGTTGTCGACCGGGGTGAGGGCTGGGAGCGCGCCGGAACTCTTCTTGGCGGTGGTGGTGTGGCCTCTCGCGGGGGGAAGCTTGCGGGGACGCGGACCGACGGCGATCTAAATCGAAAGCCTTCTTCAGCCCCTCCGCAATAAAATCCGATCTCTCGCGGGAGGAAGCTTGACGTTCCCCCGGAGATGCGGACCGACGGCGATCTAAGTCGAAAGCCTTTCTTAGGCCCCTCGTCACGAAATCCATATAGTCGTCATGGCGGACTTCTTCTCTGTGATACTGTTCATTCGGTTAGCGTGCTCATAATATAATAAGCGAGAACTTATCGATCTAGGCGGCCGAAAAAATTGATACGAAGCTATAAGATGGGAATCGACAAGAGGCGAACAGACATGGTATCGATCAGACATGGAATCAGACACGATGGTAAGTTTAACCGACCAGTCATGATGGGAATCGAATAGACATAATGGGAATCGATTGGATGTGATGGGAATCGATGGGAGTTGATGGAAATTAATCAGAGTATATGAGACGTGATAGGACGACATGAAGCTCATCGCGAAGTGCATGGATGGTCCATGTTATCATTGGATATACCATGGGACAGATCAGGTGGAGATGTATGAGATCTCGACTTACAGCTTCAGCTTCAGCTTCCTCTCTTTTCCTCTCACCCTTCTCTTTGCGTGATCTTGTAAGTCTAGATGACATTGTGGCGGTTGCTCGGGGGAAGAGAGAGAGAGAGAGAGAGTGTGTGTGTGAGAGAGAGAGAGAGAGATTGTTTACTTTTGGGGGCATTTTTATCAGCGGTCACATACCCAGGCTATTACATTTTAATATCTTGATCATTGCTAGGTTTCCTAGTCTCTAGAACTTGACTTCTTCAATAACTGAACTTGATTAATATCTCACATTAACTATGTGAAGACCCCACTATGTAACTAGTGTCTTAGAGAGATTGACCAGAGTGATAACCTTGGAAGGATTCTCATACAATAGTTATATAATACTACTGCGAAGGAAATGTAACTAGTACTGCGTGTATTCAAACTAACTTCTTACTCTCCTGAAAATAGTCGTAGGACCCGAAGTAGATCTATCGGATCCCTTAGAGGGGTATATAGACAGAGTGTTATATGACCTCGCTTAACCTACATACAACTATACTAGTAGAACTCGGAGCAAGTCAGAAGGCTTGGAGTTCAGTTTGAATACACGTAGTACTAGTTGCATTGCCTTCAAATGTTCGCAGTAAGAGAAATTGATATTCGCCACTCCGCCCTCAGATCCTTTTTTCTCTGGGCCACTGTTGACGATGCGGCGAGCGTGGTGGACTATTCTCGCGAGCAGGGGGAGCGCGGGTCGGACAGGGAATGGAAAAGAGACCGGGGATGGGAAAGATTGCGGAGAGATTGGCATAAGCCCAGAGCTCACGTGTGCGATAAAGGTGTAGGTACGGTCATCGCGAGGGAGCATCGTCCAGACTTCAACAGGCACATTGAGGATCAGAATACATGATCCCCTGGCCACCGCCTCAACGGTCACCCCGGCTTCGACAACATCGGGCGGGATGTTCTGGGATAGCCACGCCTTCCACGCAGTAGGATCATGTGGCATATCTGCACAGATTCTGGCCCTTATCATCATCACTGCTTCTGGGCGTTTCCTCGTACTACCAAGTACTCTCTGGTTGCCAAGACGTGCGATGGTGATACTGGGCTTACTACGATGTGGGATATGGACGGGACAAGCCCCTACTTGGTTATTGTGCGCTAGACGAAAAATGGTGGCGTATATTTGGGCCAGGGTCGCTGGGGCTCCGTTGAGGTTGCGTAAGGTATCAATTAGAGCCTGCGTGAAGGATGAAGGGAGGTTAGCGGCAGCGGTTGCTTCCCAGCCGGAGGCGGAGATTAGCTCATCACCACTATCGTCATCTAAGGCCAAGGAGCCAGCGGAGCAACAGTCGAAGATAAAACAAGTATCCCCATCGAAGCCTCTAAGACAATCTCTAACTGCCCACCAGTTTAATGACGGCCCTTGGCGTTGCCCTTGGTTGTTCACTTGACCACTAGGACGGGTTGGTTAGCATGTGTTTTTCAGAGGGTGGCTTGAAGACTCACAACAACTCCCAGTGATAGGCGCCTGTCCCAGCATCACTAGCATGTCCTGAGTACACGATGATCCTCAATATGTCTTCCCCTTGATACTTTTTGAACCACTTCCCGAGATGCATCACCAACTCAAGCTGCGAGCCTACGAGTGGTATAACGTAGTTCTCAACTTGAAATAGGTATGTGTGCCTAAACAAATTGAGCAACTCGGCCTCAAGCCCTGCCACCCCCATAGTGTCATTCTCCCAATGAAAGGCCAGAACAAACACGTTAGTGTACCCCTTTTGAGTGATGGCTTTGTTTACGGACGCAGACAGGTCCGCAGCAAACTCTTGAAGGTTTACAGCTGGTGGTACTGCTTGGTATGCTGTACTTGGATGTGAAGCCATCCTGGTGAGACTTGAAATAGGATGGGGATGAGTTGTCTGTCTGTGATAAAAAGGTGATACAGAAAGGTGAGAATCACTGTCAGACCGGAGTCTGACCCGCACCCTGCAGGTCTCTCTCCTCCCAACAGACTTCTACTGGTGTATCCTCCAGACCGGGGATGTCTCGACTGCGATGCAATTCCCTCGAATCAGATAAAATTCGATGGAAAATACTATCTTTTTGATGGGAAGAGATGAAAAAGGTAAGGTGCTTGATTTCCTAGCTAAGATGAATTAAAGTGGGGTGGTAAGACTATCCCCCCCCTGAATAAAAGCGGTATGATAAAGCGGTCCTATTCTGCGCGGCAAATCTCTCCCGGCCGCCTTTCCTCTCTCAATCACCATCGACAATTATCACATCGAGATGCTACTATGCCTAATTGGGTAACAGCTACTAAGCCTGATTGGGAAAGGGTCTAGTATACCTTCAATGTTGTCACTCTAATCAATCTATCTAAGACCCTGCATAACTGGGGTCTTCACACCTTCCCTCTATATCCACACCAGCAGTTCCACAGTCCGACAGCCGTATAGTCTCGCCGTCCTCCAAACCCTGGGAAAACCGAACAAACATCTAGACGCTGCATCAGGGGGGTGGTATAGACATGAGTGTTGCCTCACCCGGGATCTCAGATTTGGTATAGGCTGCCTCAGAACCACCGGTTTTAGCCTACGTTACAGCAACAGCAACATCAAGGGCAAGGTCTCACTTATCTTGCAAGCTCGATGGCCGCCGAAGTGATGTCCCCCTCTTTCAGACAATATATGGAAATGAAGCCACATTTATATATTTCTTTCGTCCCTTATATGTTTACTTTACTAACCTCTAATAACCTTTTTGTAATATAGGAAATGGAAAGAAGATAATTGCTAGATTCTGCGGTTCGTACATAGGTTCGAAGAGGGTGAACGAACATGTGCCGGAACTTCGGAAGTAGTCTGAATTGCAATGCTATCTTGCGATGTGAGGATACTCGTTTGTATGGGGGAAACAGGTGATAAGAGGCGACAAACTGTGTACAGCTCATCTCATCACGACGGTATTCGTGACAGGCTTTTAGAACATCCACATTACAAACCGCCGACTACATATGTATTCTTGATAAATATACAACATACAAAAATGAAAATCAAACTCCGATAGGGGAAATTATCCCAATACATTGAAAAATACCGGCGACCCCGGGCAGGATTTCACCTTTTTGCCCCGTCCTATTTTTTTCCGGTTTGTATTTTGGAACAGTAAGTTAACCTACTTCCCCGCGGATGACTCTAACCTTGTATTATTTACATCTACAACTATCATAGCAGAATGGCGTTTCAGGCTGCAAAGCGTGACCTTCGGAAGAGGATGCGCTCTACTCTGCAGAGTCTGTCAGCAACCTCAATAAGTCAACAATGTCAGATCGAATGATGGTCGCTGGGTTTTCTATAACTAACCTATCCCAGCCAGCGCGGCAACAACCAAGTTCTTGTCACTGCCCGAGTACCAAAACGCCAAAAGTATCGCCGTATACCTGTCTATGCCAAGTGGGGAACTTTCAACAACTGGAATCGTAAAGGATGCTCTACAGCGTGGGAAGAATGTCTACGTCCCGTATATTCACACCCAGGACAAAACATCCATTATGGACATGTTCGTGCTCGGATCCATGTCCGAGTTCGAGTCATTACAGCTGGACAAATGGGGAATCCCATCACTCCTATCTACACAAATCGAAGGTCGATCGAATGGATTGACACAGGGGTTGGATCTTATTGTCATGCCGGGCATGGCCTTCGACCGTGGGTTCCGACGACTTGGTCATGGCAAAGGGTATTATGATCATTTTTTAACGCGATACTCAACATCGACCCGCAAAATGCCATTCCTCGGTAAGTAGTCCCAGAAACAATCCGTTTATCCCCCGACTGAACTCCATGGTAGTTGCCCTTTCTCTCCAAGATCAGTTGCTCGCCGAGGATATTCCTGTGGTGGCGCACGACTGGTTGGTAGACGCGATCGTGGTTGGTGATGGTCAATTCTTGGATCGCAGGGTGTAGCGCAAATCGAAACAGAAAAGGAACAGCGAAAATTCAAACAGCCTGGATCAGAGAGACATTGTCTCCCTTGAGGAGAATCTGGCCTGTTGCGTATTAGTTAGCTGTGTTTCTCATGTGTCTGTCTTGCATTTCAATTTCATTCGTACCGAGCGGCCTGCGCTTCTCTTCCTCTGTCTTAGTTGCCAGACGTACTTCGACAGCATCATCGATGACCAGGTTCATGAATTCATCAAATCCCTAGTACAGGTTAGCTCAGATGACAACCAAAACGGATTTGCCGTAAAGAAACACATACGCGGATCTTCCCCTCTATCCGGAAAGCGAGCTGCTCATAGAGCCAGACTGAAACAGTGCTGCGTTTCTGCAGGAGACTGAAAATGAAGTGAATAGGAGCCAACAATGTCTTGCGGCCAGCCATGATGTGCGGTTATGTTGGAAGTGATAGCTGTCACACGGGAGACGAGGTGAAGAAAGCTCTGGCGGACCTGGGAGTCGTCCCGTGATTTGATTACCGTAATACGGTTATCTCGTCACAGACACCCCATCCCACCTTCAACTTGCCCTCCCCCCTCTTCGAACCCGCTTCCGCAGCCAGATGCGGATACATTTTTGATACATTGCTGAGCCTTGATTAATCTACTTAGTTCAACATGGCCAGCAAGGAAGCCGGGCAGACATTCGCCCCGGTCCTGGCGGCCGTCGCGACAATGCAAGGAAATGCGTCTAGGACTGAGAAGACTCAGGCCCATGAATTCCTTGAGAAGTTCCAGAAATCGGTACGGCTCTTTCACTTAGAATTGACTGGTATTGTTTCGCTAATCTTCAATGCAACAGATTGAGGCATGGACAACAACCCATGCTTTATTGCAGTCCCCCGATGTGCCAGTCGAAGCCAAACTATTCGCCGCGACTACACTGAAAGGAAAAGTAAGGGTATTCTTCCCTGATGATTTTCCTCGTTTCTAATTGCGCAGATTATATTCGATCTCGATCAACTCCCCCTGACTCAGTATTGGCCCTACGAGACTCGGTCCTAAACCTATTGGTTGCATTTGCGCCGGGCCCGCGCCCCATTCAGACCCAGCTATGTGTGTGCTTGGCCAGTTTGGCGATTCAGATGGTCACATGGAAAGACGTGCTGGCGACTGTCGGAGCAGCCCTAGGAAACAGCGCGGGGGATTGTGTGCTGGAGTTCCTGAAGATCTTGCCCGAGGAAGTCACTGAGGGTCGCAAAATCAATCTCAGTGTATGTTTCTGTATTGGTGTCTACGAAGGTTCAAGCTGACATCTACAAAAGGAAGACGAATTGTTCATGAGAACCAAGGAGCTGTTAGAAGACAACGCGGAGCAGGTCATGCAGTTGATGATCCAATATGCTCAGTCGTCACGTACGTATCTAATGACCATGTCCCATTCTCTTAACAAATTAGGGTTCATAACTGACTATGAACAGCTGCCGCCGCAACAAACCCCCGTCTCCTCGACTGCGTTACTTCGTGGTTACGTGAAATCCCCGCCGCCAAGGTCGTTGAGTCGCCCCTAATGGACATCATTTTCAAAGCATTGGACAACGACGCATCTTTTGACGCCGGTGTCGACTGCGTTTGCACGCTTTACCGTGATACAAAGGACGTGGACGAATCGTTGCCCGTCATTCAAGCCCTTTATCCACGATTGATGGCACTTCGCCCAAAAATTGCCGAAACTGCCGAGGCCGAAGACTTAGAGGCTTTCAAGGGTATCACAAGAATATTTGCGGAGGCAGGTGAAGCATGGGTTGTCCTTGTTGCACGTCTCCCGGGTGAGTTCCAGGGACTCGTTGAGGCGCTTCTCGAATGTTGCGCACGGGACTGGGAGCGCGACGCAGTGTCCCTGACGTTCATTTTCTGGTACGAACTGAAGCAATATATTACTCTCGACCGGTACACCGACGCTCGAGTCGCCTTCCAGCCCGTCTTTGCCCAGTTGGTGGACATCATGGTGAAACACCTCGAGTTTCCCAGTCCGGAAGATGGTGAGGCTGAGGATCTGTTCTCTGGAGACCGCGAGCAGGAGGAAAAATTCCGTCAATTCCGCCATGCAATGGGCGATGTTCTCAAGGACTGCTGTGCCGTTGTGGGTGTGAATGATTGCCTTGCTAAGATCTACCAACTGATCCAGCAATGGGTCGCCAAGTATGCATCACAGTCAAGCAACGAGCACGTTCCTCATTGGCAGGAACTGGAGGCCCCTCTGTTCGGTCTCCGCGCGATGGGCCGCATGGTCGACCCCGAAGAAAGCACTATTCTTGGACAATTGATTCCTCTCATCGTTCAGATTCCTGATCAGGAGAAAGTCCGGTTCCAGGCGATCATGGCCCTGGCACGCTACACTGAATGGACAGCTCTCCATCCCGAAACCTTGGAAGCCCAGCTCAACTATGTGATTTCTGGTTTCCACCATTCCTCCCAAGAAGTTGTGCAGGCCTCTGCTCTTGCCTTCAAGTTTCTGGGAACAGACTGCCAGAAGTTGCTTGGTGGTCATATCGCCCAGCTTCATACCTTCTTCGAGTCGGTCCTTGACAAGCTGAAGCCCACCAGCCAGGAGGAAGTCACTGAAGGTGTTGCCGCGGTGGTTTCAGTGCAACCCCATGAGAAGATCTACGATTCATACAAGATGTTCTGCGACCCGATCATGGCCCGGATTATGAACCTTGCCAATAATGCGCAGACTGAAGAAGGCCAGCGAGCCGTGGCCGATCACCTACAGCTGATTACTATCTTTGTGCAAGTGGTCACTCCGATCCTTGCACCGGGAGAAGAAAACCCTGCCGTTAAATACTGCGGCGAGGTTCTACCCATTATGACCACGATTGTCATGAACTTTACGTCTTCTACGCCTATCCTCGAACGAGTGTGCCGATGCTGGCGATACATGAT